CGACAGCGACGCAAGATGGCAGCCACCACAGGCTCGGGTGAGCGGAGCCGCCTGGGCCGGGCCGCCAAGAGCAGCCGTAGGGAGAGCGCGGAGCCCCGGCCCGGTCATCATGGCCTCCGCTAGCCCCGGGCCCGGCCTAGCCAGCCCGCACCCCTTCCGCTAGCACGCCCGGCGCCTCCGCTCACCCGAGCCTGTGGTGGCTGCCATCTTGCGTCGCTGTCGCTCGAAGGCCGGCCCCTTCTTCACCCCCCCCTTGAGCTCTCCCGAGCGCTGGTGCGCAGGCGCAGGCGTAAACGCAGGCGCAGACGGTGCCGCTGACGCCCGCTCGGGGTCGCACGAGCCGGGCGGGAAGGGCTTTGCCCTGGTCTTCAGTGAGCGAGCACTAGGGCGGGACAACCTGCGGTCCCTCCCAGCCGGGCGCGGGGGAGGTGTGCAGGTGTTCGGCGCTGGGGCACGGGGTGACCATGCTGCGCTGGGAGAGCAAAGAGGGGGAAGGGCTGCGGAGCCCGGAGCCTTTCTTCGATGGCTTCCCCTCACATAGCGAGCAGGTCATTATTAATGTGAAAATGAAGACGCCGAGAGATGAAGTTCAATTCAGCTGCTGAGTCAGAATTTGAACTCAGGGTAGATGATCTTTGTTATGGGGTACCTGAAGAAAAACATAAAAACACCCGAGAGGCCTCAATAGGTCAAACTGTGGGTCGCTACAATCTTGTTTTTGCGTCGTTGCTGCTACGGGGGACCTGAGGTTTGATGAGACTGGTCGCTCCTGGGGGCGGGTGTGTGTGTGTGTGAGAACCTTCCTGAAGCTTGCACTCAGCCATTTTTTTAGGGGTTTTTGTTTGTTTGCTACAGGATCTCAGGTAGCCCGGCTGACCTGGAGCTCACTTTATAGAGGAGGATGACCTTGAATTTCTGATTCTATGGCTTCCACCTCCAAATGCTGTGTTGCAGGCCTGTGTTACACCTGGTTTTAGAAGTGTTGAGGGGTGGAACTCGGGGCTTTGTGCCCGCTATGCAAACTCTCTACTGAGGGAGCCGCATCCCTAGTTCTGTGTCTTCTCACTCTTAATTTAATTAATAAATTATTCTCATTCAGATGCTTACTAAGCACCTATTATGTAGGAGAATGGCGGTAGGTGTTGGAGATGGCAACATCCCCAAAGAGGCAAGATTCTGTTCTCAGGGGCTTGCGTTCTAGTTGGACAGAGAACAAGTTAATGAATATAAATAGACAAACATTTTACCTATAATAGGATAGAAGGAGCAGCAGGAGACAATCAGGAAAGGCCTCTTGGGCGATCCCATTTAAACACAGACTTGCATATGCAAAAGTCTTAGAGACACAGATCAGCATACACCATAATTCCATCCCATCCCCAGAACCACCCTTGCTGGGAAGCCTGTAAGTGGATGTAGAAACCAAGACTGAGAAAGGTGAAGTAGCCGGCTCCAGGTGCTAGAAACTCACACACTAGTCCCCTGTTTGGTGTTTACTAAGCATCTCCACAGCATTCCCTCTTGAGAAAGTAAGTGGTAAGATGAGGGTTACCATCCATGCAGGAGACAGACACACACCAGATTAAAAGGAGTTTGTTACCATTTCTCCAGAACACAGAGCGAACCAAGTCTCTAGACAAATTCGGATGGATGACTACACAATGCACAAGGCTTTGCTCCAGGGTTGGGCCTATGCTCATCAGGTATCAGTGGCATTGTATTTATGGAGGAGGCTGTCCTGTGTTCCTCTGTCCCAATGCTATACTTGCTTACTGAGATGTGTCTCCAGGTTTGCCTCTCTCTAGTCTTGTCCTTACATATGCTGGACACATGCAGCACCTCCATAGTGTGGCACTGGCTCTTTCTGTTACTTTGAATCCCTGCTTACTGGGAATTGCTGCCGCTGATGTAAGTCAGTCAAACCAAATTGATAAATCCAGGTTTATTCTGAGCAAAACATTCCTGGGTGGTCACAGGAAAAGCTTAAAAAAAATAAAAACCCACGAGGAAAACCCATGAAGTGGGGGATCTTTAAAGCCTCCCAGGGGTGGAGTCTAGACTGAGGCCACTCCAGGGAAGCGGGTTTGGGGTGGAACTTCACCCGAACATTCCAGACTCTCTGGGTATATGGACGCCAGGGGCTGGGGTGAAGCTTCCACCCAAACACTTTTCAAGGCAGCTGGAGCCTCACATGGTCTCCCTCTCTTCGGGGCTGTCTAGCCCTCCTGTTGCTCCCACCAGACAGCCTCTCTTTGGAAAGACTTTCCAGACTTCTCCAGCCGGAGCACTTTAGCTATAACTGGGTCTCAGAATGCCAAGTTTTCCAGCTACATGCCATGCAATTCGCCTTTGCTTTACGTATCACATGGCACAAATCTGTCAGTGGAAGCACAGACAGTATTTGTTCTGGTCTTTGGGTCGCTGAAAAGCGTTGGGACCAAAAGTGAGCATTTAGCTCCCAGGGTTGACTCACTCCAGAAGTGAGAGTCTCAGGGTTTGAGCCTGCATTGTTTACCTTTTAGGGTGGCTTCTGTTAAGAAGTTTGTAAAGACAGCTGGACATGGTACACCTCTGTAGTCCCAGCAGTAGGAAGGCTGAGGCAGGAGGATAGAGAGTTAGGGCCAGCTTGGGCTACATAGTTGAGACCCTGTCTCAAAGTGGGAATAGAGTCATCCCTCATGCTTTGATGAAGCCCCTTGCAGATGAGAGGATGAAGGCACACCGGGAAGGCTGGCATTCATTAAATGACGTACAAATCCCAGGCACTCTTAAGAATAGTCTCATTTTAAAGACGAGGCTCTCCGGAGAGGTGGTTCAGCTGTTAAGAGCATTTGCTGCTCTTGCAGAGGACCAGGGTTCCATTACCAGCATCCACACAGCAGCTCACAACTGTCAGAAACTCCGAGCGCTTTTCTGGTCTCTTAGGCATCAGACATGTATGTGGTGCATAGACATGCATGCAGCAAATAGTCATAAACAAAAGCAGTAAAAAAAAGTCTTTTAAAATAAGGATCCGATAGGAAGTTCCAGGCCAGCCCGCTAGGACCACAGAAGAATACTGTCTCAGAAAAGAGAGAAAAGGAAAGATGAGAAAACGGGTACTCAGAGCCAGTTGCTGGAGTGACGGCTAAAACAGCCCTCTATCCCTACGCTCACAAATCCTCTGCCAGCCGACACCTATTGCAAGCAAAAGTGATCATGCAAATTCCCACGAGAACGACGCAAGGGGAAGAGGTTAAAGTGGACGCGCCGGGGCATGCTGGTTATTGTAGTTCAGTGGTGGCCTGCTGGGAGTTGTAGTACTCAGGGCACACGTTCCCTCGGGAGACTCCGCCCCTTTCCTGACGTCACAGCGAGATCCCTGAATGGGATTCCTCCTGCCACTTACCGATGCTCAGTGCGTTTGAGCTCAGCTGTTGGGCATGAGAGAATCCTGTTTATCG